TCCAGTGCTTAAATAATTTTCACCACATTAAATAGCTGCACAACACCCTAATTGCCGAAAAAGCGTTGCTTGCAACACTAGTCCTTTATGGGGACCAAACTTGGTAAAAAAAAATAGCTAAGTTTGTTTACTGGATATACTGAGAAACAAACACAATCAGCGTCCGCTGCTCTATTTCGAAGCGGACAAAAAAATCAAAGAAACTAGAATGTCATGTAGAATGCAGTGTTGCCAAGCTTGAGATTTGAGAACGCACTAAGAACTCAAGAAAAATCGGGTTTTTCTTGAAAAAAGCACCAAATTTTTATCACGAGTATTTAATAATAAAAATTTTTTTGTAGGGATGCTGATTTAAATTAATAAAAATCAATGTTTCCTGCTCGACGGTCGAGTTTTTTCTGCTTTCTATTAAGTCAAATATTTTCGTCCAAGTAGCGATAACATTCTTGTTCTTATTTTATTAATAGGCAGCTGTGTCCAGCGTTGCCGCTTCATGAACTATGCGGTACTCTTATGATCTCGTGAACTAAAGGAGCATAAAGAACTTTTCTTTCCGACTGCTTGACACTGAAACATAACGAAATTTGAATTTCTTTTTAATGTGCCTTATTTCAGCGCATAGTGGGAAAAATCTGTGTCAAAAATTTGTTGGCTCGCTTATGATTGTCATTGTGCCATGATTTTGTTTCCATTTTTGTAAAGCTGCTAAAATATTTACGATTGATATTAATTTTTTTAACGTTTACCGATTTAGTATCTTCAAACTAAAAAATGAAGCACGAAAATACGCATCAAGCCCCAAACTCAAACATTTTGGCGTTTTGAATAAAGAAAAGCACTACATTTAGTGCGAAAAGCATGACTCTGGCAATAGTGGTGGAATGTGATGAAGAAAACTGACAGCTCTGTCCGAAGCATATCAGTGGCGCACAAACTATTTGTATTTTATGGCTACCAAACTGTTAATTTCGTCCCAAACCGATTTCGGTAGAGCATTTTTGGTCCCAAAACATAGTTTCGGTGCCAGTGTGATCGAAAAATCGCAAAAACATCGCAATTATAGCAGAAAATTATAGAAAACATATACCGAGAACATCTCATGCTTAAATGTAGGCAAAATTTCAAATTATTTCCATCATGCCTGACAGCTAGAAAAAAAGTACACAAAAGAACTGGTCAGGTTTTTCATATCACCCCCGAATTTCTCAAGAGGAAATTGAAGCATTATTGCATCAGCACTGACCGTCAGGAGACCGGTCATTTGCCAGTAAGATTTCTTGTAGGGAAGCCAACTCTTTTTTTTTGTTATATGCAAGAGTGATAATTCATTTGATATACAGTATGCTGGCAAAACTTTTTGAAATATGATGAATGTTTTGAAAAAAAAAACCAAATAAAATCAAAATAGATAAAATGATAGCATTTTTAATTGGTAACAAGGAAATCCAACAAAATAAAATAGAATCTACGTCTGAGGGCTAGTAAAATACGTAAAAAAATTTGTGAATATTAACACTGTAAGATAAATTTTTTAGAAGTAGAAATATAATACTATTTTTCTGAAAAATTCTGAAAATTTTTTATATGGAAAAAATGCGTAGTTCGGAGTTTTATTGCTCCCACCCCCTAGGATTGTCCAATAACGAAAAAAAGTATACCCCTATTTTGAAATCAAAAAATATCTACAGGTCGCTCGAAGCACTCAAAGTTGTACATGTATTTTATATGAAAAAAAA